AAAAAAAAAAAAAAAAAAAAACACCCTTCATTATACAGCCGATAAACGGGTCCAGAGTCCCTTACAATGAGGCTAGGTCACCAGCTTTCCGATCCGCGGACAGCTCCGGCAGACAACTCAGTCGGATGTCCGGGACCGGAGATGTCAGGGATCCCAGACAACTCATTTTCTCCAAAACTAAAAGCGAAAAAACAAAAAAAAGGGGCGGGGGCCTGCGCTACATGAGGTGACCCCATAAAAAAAAAAATCAGCTCATTTAGAGGAAAAAAATATATACTGCAAAACATGGGGAAAGGGGGTTTGGAGAGGAAAGTGTGGGGGGGGGGAGGGGGCGTGATTGAAATTGACCCCTGTAAGATAGACCTGTTCAGTTGAAATTGGCAAAGACATCTTTAGCGATTTCCATCTTTTTTTCTACGGGCTCAAATGACCCTATCTGGTTTTGGCATATACCTCATGATAGGGGGAACCCACAATTTTTTTTTTTGTCCGACATACTGTCTCCGGGAGACGCATCCCCAGTTGTCCGATCGGACAAGTCGGCCATCTGTCTCGGGGAGACGTATCCCCAGTTGTCCGGTCGGACAAGTCGGCCATCCCGGGGGGTCCCGGACATCCGCCCTGGTAGCATAGCAATGAGGCGACCTTCTGGTATGATCCGGGCACTTCATCCAGGTCCAACTTTTGCCTCAGGGTCACATACAAATTCTTTACCAAAGTTAAATAACTTTTTTTTTCTTTTCTTTTTTTTTGCTTTTTGGCCCAGCCGGGCAACTGGTCCCGGGCAACTCTGGTGGCCTTGGTCAAAGGCTCCCCCTCTTAACATCGAGGCAAAGCCGCACGGCGCCGAAATGACATGCTGCTGTTGGTACTCTGGTTTGCGATTAATGCGGAAGAAATATATGGTTCACGGCTTGTCTTTTTTGCTTTTCTTTTCACTTCACAACTTGGCAATGGACCGTGCCTAGAAGATTATGACGGATGTCGTTCAGGACATCCGTCAAAATTGGTACGATACAGAGAAAGAAGATTAGCATGGCCCCTGCGCAAGGATGACACGCATAAATCGAGAAATGGTCCAAATTAAAAAAAAAAAAAAGAAGGATTATGAACTTATGAGTCATGAGTCTTATGACGGAGACACGCTTACCAGCTACCTATGCAGAAGGCTACGATAGTGGACATGTTCCGCGTGAAGAAGTACTTGCCACCAGGTTGGACATCCCACTCCTCTTTCTCATTCAGTTGTTTGAAACCTGCCTCCACAAGCTGCCGCTTGGTCTCCGCTGCCACAATGGAAGTAGAAGATTTCCAACAGCTGTCAGCTCTTTCCGCTCCATGCTCATTTGTCTGTCTATTGTTTCTCTATCTGAAATCTTTTTCCCCTTTTCTTTTCCCTTTTCGCCATGAGCATGTTGCCGGATTGCACTGTTTGGGTCTCTCTCTCTCTCTCTCTCTCTCTCTCTCTCTCTCTCTCTCTCTCTCTCTCTCTCTCTCTCTCTCTCTCTCTCTTCCCCACCATGTGTGTGCCCATACTACTTTCCATACTGCCCCGACCGGCCAAAAGGTGGCACTTTTGGCTATACTTGAGGTCCTAGAGGGAGGATGCTTCCTTGAGTTTCAAGGACAGGTCCCACTGGTGCTATGTCCATGGTAAGAAAGCACAAACCTGCCCATCAATACGTCCCCGGTTCATGCTTTCTGAGCATGCACATAGCACCAGTGAGGCTGGTCCTTAAACCACCAGTACTTCCTAAAGTCGTGCCCGTTAACGCTACGCGATTTTAGGAAACGTACGGCCCACTACCGGAGCGCCCAAATTCATCCAACTACTAACGTTTCTACTCTTTCTTTTCCGCGGCCGATAGCTGCACCAAGTACTGGTGGTTTAATGGCCCAGCTATCGGCCAACGGAAAAAAATAGAGTAGAAACATTTCTAGTTGGATGAATTTGGACACTCCCGTAGTGGCCCGTACGTTTCTACTCTATTTTTTTCCAAGAATAGGGGCCAGCAAGAGGTAACATATCACCAAGTTACTGCGACACACTTGACATCCTTTTCTTCCTGTTTTTGAACCATCGGCCGGTGCAGGACCGCATGCTTCGTCTGCAGTAGACTTTTCCTTTTCTATTATCCTGGTTAGATTCATAGATCCAATATGCAATCCTTTTGCTTGTATGTTTGCACATGATTTATTTCAGTATTTTGTTGTCCATAGGTACTCAGTCTGGCAACGTTTTCCCCACTTCCGAGGCCTCATCTCTCCCTCCTCTTCTCAAACTTGTCCATCTTCGACCCCAACATATTGCACTTAGAAAGACTTCAGCTTCTTAAAGCTTGATATATAGTTTTATGCATTCGATACAGAGCTCTATGTGTGCACAGCCGATACATAGTTTCTATATGTGCATGATTCCGGAGGAGGTAGCGACCAACGGTTCTCGTACCCGAGCTAGAGGACAAGTTGCCATGGCCAGCCACCATATCTGGAGGTTAGAGAGATAGTGGACACCATCTCCAGTAATTGAGATGGAAGAGAGGCGGCCACCATTCATCAGTCAAATGCATCCTGCAAGACTGCTGGGGTTCAACCTCCTGATAAGTTGGTGAAAGTCCAACGAAATGGTCTCCCAGAGTCATGGGTTCTTTTGTGGAGTTGTGTATAGTGAACACACACACACACACACACACACACACACACACACACACACACACACACACACACACAGACATGCACATGCACACACACAGACATGCATGCGCACGCGCACACCCACACAAACACGCACACCCACACAAACAGACACACACACACACACACGCAGACATGCACATGCACACACACAGACACGCATGCGCATGCGCACACCCACACAAACACGCACACAGACACGCACACGCACACAAACATGCACACACACACACACACACACACACACACACACACACAGACATGCACATGCACACACACACACACATGCACACGCGCACACCCACACAAACACGCACACAGACACGCACACCCACACAAACATGCACAACACACACACACACGCACACACACACGCGCACACACACACACACACACACATGCACATGCACACGCACAGACACACCCACACACCCACACACCCAC